TCTTCCTAGCTTGACCTTGGACTTGCCTCATCACTACAAATTCGTCTGGTCTCTTGGTAGGACCTAGTCACAACCTCTGGGCCTCTTCTGTTCATCTTGCTCAGGTTCTGAGGGGAGGCTCTTCAGGGGTTTTAGCACACTTACACACCTGGAGACTAAGAAGTATTTGGATCTGCCCTAGAAGTGTAAATACATAAGACTGTAATGGTAGCACAGAAAAAAACTTTATAGAAAGTAGTATAAAAAAAATTGAAAAATGCATCCTGCCCCATACTCTCTTAGTCATCATCACTTGAAAGAAAAGCTGCATTCTTAGATCATAGCTTGGAGCTTGAAAGAAATAGGCCACAATAACGTTTTGTTCTGAGGGAAGGATGTCTGGTAGAATTTGATCTGCCAGCGCTTTGTCTGATGGTATGAGAGCACTGGTGAATAAGAAGGCTGCATCCTGGATTTTTTGTCTGCATTGGTTTAATGCCTGCAGTTTTTTGGTGTCCATCCATTCCAGCTCAGAATCTCAAATACAACTATACCTAGCTGCTTCTGTAATTCTTTGGGGAGGAGTAAAGTTTAACTTCAGAGAATGGAAATAACAGTGACAATCTGCTAAGGAAACACACAGCACAGTCACCCATTCAATTTACACCCAAACAACTATTGTTCTAAATATATTTCCCCTGCTACATACTTGTTCTCACAGCATTCATCACATTTCTTATTATGTGGGCTGGACTGTGGCAGACAAGGTATCCGCAGCACCTTATTACAGGCAGTTTTCTGCCTGCTCTCCAGTCTGCCCAGGTGCTCGGAGCAGACTCAGGGAACAGGTCTCTGGCACGATAATCCTGCCTGCAGAGAGCTGGCACTGGAACTGCAGCACGCTCCTTGAGCTCTGACCGAGTTCTGTGAAATAAAATGGCAAGGGTAGAGCCTGTGCTTGTCGTCCTCCAGAATGAACCTTTATGGCAATCTCCCGTTGCTCAGCACCATCTTGCTAGAGATAGTGTCGGTTTGGTGTGTGCAGCTCTTCCCAGGAAGAGTGACAAGACTAGGTGGGAGTCAGCTGTCAAAGGCTGACAAAGCCTGCCATAAAGAATCAACAGCTTCCTTGCAAGCCTTCTGCACTTTCCATGGGGTGGGGATTCACATAGAGCTCAGGTATGTTGGATTTTTGTCAGATACTCCCTCAGTGACACAGTCCCACAACCCCCTTCCTGCATCAGACTGCTGCTTTCTATCCCATCTGTTTTCTTTTATCTTGAATTAAGTAAAGGCAAACTGTCCCAGTGCAGTAGCACTGGGAATGCTCTTTAACAGCTCCATTATGATGTTGGTCCGTACAGGAGTTACTTCATACCTGACCCATTAGGCATTTTTGTTTTTCTAATGTTGATACAAAAATATTTGAATATTTTGTGTTTTCCAAAGTGTCGATCACATCTGCTGTGGGTCCTGGGATATGTAGCTCATAGGATTGCCCCAGAAATCAAGTCATGTTCTGTCCCTATGTAAAAAAGTGTTAGAGATGGGAAACAAAATGTGCTGGAGGTTTTAGTTTTGCCAGAGTCAAGCTTAACTCAGATAAGGCAATAGGCAAGACATTACTGTAAACTGAGTGAGGCTGAAAACGGGGTGGACAGCTTTTAAAAAGAGGATTCTGAGCACTTCTTTATTTAGCCTAGAAATGGAACTGTCATGGCCTTTTTTGTGCTGTTGGAACAACCATTGGTGTTTCTCTAAAGCCTTTATATAAGGATCTTGTCTTTTGTAAAAGCAAATTTTGTTATTGCTACTTGGAAACACAGAAAACTGAGTTACACCAAGGTACTGTGACCTCATTCCTATCTGTAGATTGTAATTTTAATTCTGGATTAAAATATCCCAAATTCAGATGTTTCCATCTACATCTGAACTCTATAACCTGAATTCCATCACAAAATCCAACATCAGTTGCTCACCTCAGACCATCCTTCAGTTCACTGATACTCTACCCCTCAGGGCACACAGTGTGCTTAACGCTGTTCCCAAACTAGTCTTACTCCCCTGTTCTCTCTCATACACACAGTTAAAATGGAAGACAGAAAAAAGAAAAAACAGAAAACAAGGACTTCCTGCATTCTTGCATTTTTTTCCCAGCCTGATTTGTGCTTCTAGGCAGACTGTGAATATTCAGCTCACACAGTACAGCCAAAGCAGAGCCTACACCCAGCAGCCGCTTGAAAACGAAGAGAATATGCTTTATACAAGTCTGTACTTCACAGTCTGTTCCCTGAACCAGCTCATGTGGCCTGAATACCTCAAGGGCCTGCAGTTTCCACATCCCCAGTGGTAGCTGCATTTTAGTGGATAAAATTTCTTACATATTTCAGCTGAAGTTTGAAAAGAACTTTGTGGGGAAAAAATGATGCAGAACTGTATTTGTGAATTAATAATAGTCAGGTTTGTTTATTGATTTCTAATTGGCCTGAATCTCTCCATGTTCCCTGAATCTATTTTAGCACTAAAATGGTTTGAATAAAGCCCTATTTTCACTAATCCACCCTTCTCTGTGTCTGTAACTCTGTGTTCCAAGCTTAGCTCCTTCTATAGCCTTTATGTGACCCTGAGGTGTGAGGCAGGACGAGCATTCAGGTGCAGGAGCACCTGCTGACAGGACACTGCAAACAGGCAGCGAAGTCCCTGTGGTCCCAGACAGGGCTGAACACAATCCCTCTGAGGGATGCTGTGCTGTTGGGTATGTTTACAAGAGTTCAGACTAACGAGTTGTGTGTTAACGTTTGATTAATTGTCACTGGCCATGCTGTAGTGAGGAGCTCTGTGAACTCTAGGGACAGGAGCCTGAACGGTGCCGGCCCGTTCCTTTGCCTTAGGGGGACACGCGGCTCCATCAGCCAGCCCCAGCCAGATGCTGGCATTTATTCACCTGAAAGTCTGGCCCATGTGGGACCCTGTAACCTCTGCTCTGACACACTTGCGCTGTGTGCCCTCCCTCCCCATGGGCTCTCAAGGTTTCCTTAGTCCACCACCTCCTCAGTTTAGGAAATTGGTACAACAGAAGAATTAAACCATTTCTTTCTTGATTCTCATATGGGAGTTCAACACAACAAAGTCTGAGTTAAAAATGCAAAAGCAAGGAAAAGTGCAGTAGCTGTGTGAAATAAAAATGGTGGAAATGTCCAGAATGGCTAAAGATCAGATAATAGCTTTGTTTTTTACAGGAAATAATACTTGCATCTACTCCAAGTCCAGGGGACAATTCTGTAGTAAGCAACAAAGGACCAGTATGAAACTCTAGCCTGGGCACTAGGTATGAAAGACAGGTTTGAGCCCTAATTTGACTGTGTGCTCTTCTTGTGAGCTTTCAGTATGTGCAGTTCTGGTCTGACCCTTTTTTGTTTTCTTTGGGGGGTGTGTGTCTTCATAATACCCATTGTGTGCAGTAATAGTGTGTTTCTGCTGCAGATCAGTCATGCCAGAAGGAGCCATGGAGCTCGCCTATCTGTTTCCAGACATCTGTTGTGTAGACATCTCCCAACCCTTTCATTCTTCTTTGTTTTTCAGAGAAGTAAAATTAGTTTTTGTCAAGTTAAAAAAAAGGTTCTGTGTGGCCCAGTTGAACGGTGGGAGCTCAGAGCTACCAGGAAAAACGAAGAGGCACCACATGACAGGAGAGCGCTGTGAATTCTGTATTTGCTGGCACTGTTCTTGATGCTCTTCAGGGCACAGATTAAAAACCGAAGTATACCCCCTGGAAGTGATCTGTGCAGGAACGACTGTGAACGATGTCTCATGTTTGGTCAAAGGCAGCTTTGGGTTTTGAGTCGCCTTAGGTGCCGGGCTCGGTCACTTCCGAAGAGCCAGAGGGATCTCCCCAGCCCCCGAGCTCGGCTGGGCTCAGCCGCCGTCGGCCCATGCCATCAGGCTTGTGCGGGCTGGGAGGGCACTTGAGCACACCCGACTCGCCCGTCGTTAAAAGCCGTGAGTGTACGCGCTGCCGTACTTCTGTGGACACTAAAATGACAACAGAGCAATGTGATATTTTTCTCTCTTTGTAACTTCTGCTTCCTCAGTGAGGGTTTCTCTGTGTGGGAGACCTCCGGCATGCCTGGGATTTGGGCAGGCTACTGCCCAGGCCGGCTTGCAGAAAAGCACCGCGAGGTGCGAGTGTCCCCGTTCTCCTGGCGCAGGGGGAGGAGAGCGGGGGGCTGCGCTGCCTCGGGCACAGCGGCGGCGGCAGGCCCCGGCAGGCCCCTCAGGAG